TGGTCAGGGTCATGAAGCGTCATGTCGTAACTGTCAGTCCCTGTCAGAGAAAGCTGTCCTGAACTTTAAGGTGGATGAAGGAGCCTCGTTTCGGGAGGCCCAACGCCGACACAACGATGCGACCACCACAAGGACATACAAAGACGCCCTTACTAAAAACCGGCAATAAATTTAGTCCAATTAACAGCTGCAGCCGACGAGATACTGAAAGTGGATCGACTCGATGATTTCAAAGGCATGACTGTAGGCGAGTTTGTACAGCTGATTCTAAGCGCACTTGTACCAACTGGCCCTGCTGCCCCGTCGTCCCGGAAGTCGGATTCTTCGAAAAAGGATTCACCTGCGGCATTGGCCGCTGCCAGAGAAGCTCAACCTAGGGGATTGGAACCCCCTGGTGGAGCGGCCAGAGAACCGGGACTAGGGTGCGAGCCGGGAACGGGGGACGGACCGCGGTCCAGCGAGACCGTGGATTTCGCCCCCCATCATCGCACCCCAGCCCAGCCCGTGCTAAATACACGCCCTCCCGGGCTCCATCTCCCCCTCCATCCATACCAGCTACGACGGGATCTGTCCCCACTGGTACAGCGGCGCTACGAGAGCTGACCCCCTCTGGCTCCCCAGCTAGTGGCCCTGCCGGGAGCGCCGGTCCTCCCGGCTCACGGGAGCCGGACAAGGTTCGGCATCCCCTAGTCGTCGCTCCCTCCTGGAGCCGCCCTTCTGAAACTGGTGTTCGTCCGGGTTCTGTGGACCTCGGGCCTGCAGGGCGCGCCGCCAGGTCGGCTTCTGCACCGCGGGCAGGGGGCCGGCTCCCGCTATCGACTCCGCCCCACTCATCGGGAGGGTCAGTGGGCCCGCCTACCATTCCTCCACTTGGAGACGCGGGGTCGAGTCGGCCTACCCCGCAGTCCCCGGCGGCAGGTCGTGCGACAAAGCGTGCCCTTCCTTGGCCGACGTCGCCTACCAATGGTGGAAGGCCCAAGGCTCGGTCAGGGGTCCGGCTTAGCTCCACTGAAGTAGAGCGTCGTCAGGAGATTCGTTTAGTGCGAAATCCTATGTGAACGTTTAAAGCACATGCAAGCTATACCGATGGACCTTAACCGTACACCCCACATACAAGCATATCTAGTATGCCACCGACATTTTTACAATGGAACATACATGGCTTGGGGGTCAACGTGTCAGACCTTCACACACTTATCTAATCGTAACCCGGCTGTGACATGCTTACAAGAAACAAAGACATCTAATGACACTCACCTTAACATCAAATGCTACATTATCTTTCGGAATGGCGTGATAACTGGCACGATCGCCCATGGTGGGGTGGCGGTTTTAGTTCATCACAATATACCCTATCCTCCTGTAAGTCTTAACACCGACCGTCAAGCTGTTGCCGTCGTCTTCGACCTTGGGTCGCTGAGGCTGACTGTCTGTTCTATCTACCTCCCTTCCGCTGAGGAAGTACCGGACTCGATATTACAGTTTATCTTCCATCATCTCCCATCGCCGCTCTTGCTGCTAGATGACTTCAACTCCCATAGCCCTTCGTGGGGCTGCAGTTACACAAGCCGCCGAGGCCGACATCTCGAATGTTTGCTGAATTCAAATAGTCTTTGTGTTCTAAACACCGGCCGGCATACCCATATATCTCTGCCGTCCAGCGCCACTTCAGCGATAGATCCTTCTATCTGTTCCTCGTCCCTTTTCTATCGGTTGTCTTGGGCCGTTGAGAGCACTACGTGTGGACTGCTGGAACGTTCGACGTGCCAACTGGCAAAGGTTTACCGACGAGCGTCATGCTAGAATGCAGCCGACCGAGGGCGACAATGCAACATCTCTTACACAACAAGTGACATCCACAATTGTCGACATTGCAATGTCTTGCATTCCCTTGACATCACCCGAGCCGCTCAGGATCCCTGTCCCCTGGTGGTCGGAGGACTGCAAGGCGGCAATTATTAAGCGGAGGCCAGCGTTCAAGGTTTTCAAGCGCGCTGCAACAACCAACAACACCATCGCTTTCAAAAAGGCCAGAGCATTGGCGAAACGCACAATGCGCGAGGCAAAGGTGCATTATGGAGGGAATATGCAAATGGTTTAAATCGTTACACCCCACTGAGTGCAGTGTGGCAGCGAGTTAGTCGCATTTCCGGTAGGAGCGTATTTACTGCAGTTCCGGTGTTGAAAGCGGCGGAAATCACGCTATTGATCACACGGGAAGTGTCCAACAACATAGGCCTCGCATTTGCAGAAAGATGCCGACATGAAACAGACGGCCCACGCTTTACTCGTTACAAGGAACAGAGTGAGAAGACGGCAATCAATTTTAGAATTCCTTACTCAGAGAGTTATGGGTACAACCAACGATTCACTGTCATGGAGCTCTGCACTGCTCTTAAGAGAGCTAAGAGTGTGTCCCCTGGACTGGATGAAGTCCACAATGATATGTTCAGTCACCTAAAGAAGGAGTCCCCCCATGCCTTACTCTCACTTTCCAACTACATATGGTTGCATGATGACTTCCCGGAGTCGTGGCGGGAGGCCATTATAGTCCCGATACAGAAGCCCGGAAAGGATGGTTCCGACCCACTGCACTACCGCCCGATTTCGCTGACTTCAGCCCAATGCAAAGTACTAGAAAGGATAGTGAGGGATTGTCTCATGTGGTATCTTGAAACTCACGGTTGTCTTTCTAAAGTGCAATGCGGGTTTCGGAAGAACCGATTCAGTGTTGACCACTTAACGATTTTAGACGCAGCTATGCGACATTCTGTTAAACGAAGACGTCACACGATAGCCATATCCCTTGACATGACATTGAAAGTACAAGTACACAAGTGTGGACTTCGAGGTCACATGACATTGAAAACTTTTTACGGCGTCGATTTTTCCGCGTCCGAGTGGGTGGCATGCTATCTGACCGCTACGCACAAGAGAGCGGTGTTCCCCAAGGGAGCGTCCTTAGCGTAACCCTGTTTGCGCTGATGATCGATGATATCGCCGACTGTCTGCCATCCACGATTAGTCGGTCACTGTTTGTGGACGACTTTGCTGCTGGCGCACAGCATCCGCAATGACGTCTGCAGAGAGGCAGCTTCAGTTATGCCTCATTCGACTAACTGAGTGGAGCCTAAAGAATGGTTTAAAGTTTTCGACCACCAAGACTAAGTGTATGCACTTCTGCTCACGGAGTAGACTGCAAAGATCCGGAGTTGCGACTCCATAGTGCCGATATCCCAGGATGTAATGAAATCTGTTTCCTGGGCCTCACGTTTGACCGTGGGCTCACGTGTAAGCAACACTTTAAGATGATCAAGATTAAGTGCCTAAAGCGCATGAACCTCATGAAAGTATTATGCCGTATGACCTTTGGGGCCGATAGATGCACCATGTTGAACTTGTATAGAGCTTTAATTCGATCGGTCATCGATTACGCTAGCCCTGTCTACGATAGTGCTCCTACATCTCCGAAGCAGGTTTTGGACACAATCCACCATGCATGTGCTCGTGTAGCCATTGGGGCGTTTCGTACGACCCGGACAAGAAACTTGCTTGTGGGAGCGAATGAACCGCCTTTGCCTCTTAGGAGACAACGACCTACTTTAAGTTACGCTACAAAGGTTTTACAATTTCCGGATCATCCAACCTTTGAGTTCATCTTCTCTCAGACGTTAATCAGTTCTTGAGTGAACGGCCCACGTCAGCGCGGCCGATGTGTCTGCGCGTCCGGGGCTGGTTGGACGAGGCGGATATTACGCTTGATGACATTGCACCGCACACTCTTCGGGATCCAGCTCCGTTGAGACGTCTGAGTCTGAAGTATGATTTGGAACTTTGTTAGCACCGTAAAAGTGGCACTTCACCGCGAGAGTCGCTGAACTATTCGTTGAAACGGATCTCACAATACGTTGACTCATTACAAGTATCTACTGATGGGTCCAAGGGCTCGACAGGAACGGGTTGCGCATTTGCTTGCGATGATCACACCGTAGGTCTTTGCCTAACGCATCACATGCCTGTTTTTCCTCAGAACTGTTTACTATTTTAGCAGCACTTTAGTACGTTACTTATCGCCCTGAAAGGGATGCAGTCATTCTGGCCGACTCGCTTAGTGCACTTGTATCATTAGCCCCCACGGCGATCTCGCGTAACCACTCATTTCTGACGCGCTCAATTTGGGAGGAACTGGAGTGGCCGGGAAAAACTTCCTGCGGTATCACATTTGTGTGGATCCCCAGCCACATAGGGACAATGGGAAACGAGAAAGCTGCGGCGTGTGAGAGAAAACCAATACCAACTTGTGCACCCGCTTTGTACCTGAAGTCGGTCATTTCCAAATATGTCCGCGATACGTGGCAGAACAAGTTCGACCAACATCTTAACGCTTTCAAGGAAATCAGGCCCCAAATGGGTGATTGGGAATCTTCCCATCGCCGAAGCCGCTTCCAGGAAGTCGCCCTTTGTAGGCCTTGGTTGGGTCGTACATATGCAACACGCTCGTTTTACTTGACGCGTAAGGATGTGCCACGGTGTGACAGATGTGGGGACCGGTTGCCTGTAGAACATGTCCTCGTCTTATGCCGGCGCCCTGAGACAGAAAGGTGACGATTTTTTCCTCCAGCGCCCCTTCATCGGTGTATCGGCCGAGACCCATGTTATGAACGTGGAGATATACTCGCATTTTTAGCACACATTGACTTTAACACTATTTTCACTCACCCCTCAGTGTAAGTGTTCCAGTGATGCCGCCCGGTATTAGTTGACAACACAGTTATCGCTACGTCGCAGATTTAGTTAACGGTCATCGAATGGGCGCAAAATGGTCCCGATGCCGACCCACCCTTAAGCACTAAATCACCACCACCACCGCTGACCACCGTTTGGCCGCGCTGGTGCTGCCACCGTGAGCCCTGACCTATAGCCCAGGTGTGGCCACCGGGCCGTGTGGCCGCGCTGGTGCTGCCACCGTGAGCCCTGACCTATAGCCCATCTGCTCTCAGAGGACGTGCTGACCGAGGACAAGGGCGAGTGTGTCATCTGCCTGGAGGAACTGGAGCAGGGGCAGACGATCGCCCGGCTTCCCTGCCTCTGCATATACCACAAGAGGTAGGTTGGCCGGTCCCCTCTGACGCCAGCGGGCTTACGCTGCTGCCGGTAATCGTCAGGACCCGATGCTGGGGGGGGGGGGGGGGGGCATAGGGGGAGCATACCCCTCCCCGTAAGCCCCCTCCTCGCGTTGAGATTTGATGTTGGGTAGCGGTGTTTCGTAAATATTAGAGTGCCCAAGAAACTTTCCTTGCTTTCCTAACTAATGGGATTTAAGGATGGGAGGCGGGCAGCAGGAACTCTCTCAGGTGAGGAGAGGTTTATTGGTTTATCTCAAATCGATTTAGCTCAAAATGATTATTCACCATTCTGTTGAATGCGATTAGCGAGCTTATATGGTTATGATGACTCCCGACAAGTATCAAGCTGAGCTGAGTACAAGTTAAGGCGGCTGAGAGACGGTTAAGTCTCATTTCGACCGTTAAAAGGGAGTGTTTTATATTTGTATGGGATTTTGAACTGAAATAGCCATATTAAAGACATTTCGGTGCTGTTCACAATTCTGCCCTTGTTAAGACCTAACCCCATGTAGTTTCTGAGCCACACGCCCGCGAGAAGGAGGAAAGGCATGTCGGAGAGAGTATTTCAAAGTCACCTTGACATTCATGATGTCATAAACAACCTTCTTCAGATCATGCAATTCCATAAGGCATTCGGCGATCAAGGCTAAAAATATAGTTGTCAAGGATATAGTTGTCAAGGCGTTCATATCTGGCGTTCATGAGCACGATTTCCAGATATAACAACTGCCAATTGACCCTCAATCAATGCCGTACAAGGAGCGATGACGTAGTCAAACCATGACGCATTGAAGAGTATATTTACCAAACGGAGAATTGTGCTGTCTGGAACAGTCTGTTCCACTTTAACAGTGTACCGATAGTTATAAGTGAGCTTGTTTCGTCTATCTGATGATTGTTCCAATATCTTCAAACGTGAAACACTCCATTTAAAGTCGCACTAGATCTGGGGGGGGGGGGATTAAGATTTGGATCACGTGACATACTGGTACCTAGAACATCTCATGCCGGACCCAAAATTGTATCCCACGAGTTCACAAAAATCGTTCGACGAATTTTCGTGTGCCGATCCTCTGTGCCGATCACCAGCTGCTTCATGGTTATGGCCGCGTCAAACAGTGACGAGCATCAATGCCGAGTCTGTTCGTACAAGGCAGCCTGTGGGTGTCTTTGTCCTAGATGCTTTGGCAGATGACCTACCAGATACCTACTTATTCATTAGAGGGTCAGGATGAGCTGTTGTGACCACAGTGCCCGCCCAGAGACGACGCCGCATTGGCGCCCTGCTGGCCGTCGCTTCCCCTTAGCTTGATAGCTTCCGTCTTGGGCCTCTCCGCCGCAAGCCTGACCTGTGACCCTGCCGACAGGTGCATTGACGACTGGTTCAAGGTGAACCGAACATGCCCCGAACACCCTGGCGACTGACCGCCGGCCGCCGATCTGTGACCTGTGACCTGTGACCTGTGCTGACCTTTGGCGGGCACGAGCCTTCAGGTGGCACACAGCCCCGGCGGTGTGTGGACTTCTAAGCTGTGCCGCCGCTAACGTCTGCCAGTGATCGCCAAATCGAAGGGCATTGTCGGAATGTGGCGTGGGCTTTATCGAGGCTGTTTTGTACGTCGCCTTGCGTGAAGTTTGTCGTTGAGCGGGCGAGCTTGTGAAGAAGCGGCTGATGCTGGGGAAGGAACTGCTTATTTGTTAACTTTCGGGAAATTCGCAGATTAGTAGAATACGCCGCGTGACTATGGGAGGCAACTGCACGGCCGTTGTCGCCACTCAACCGTCCAGAAGAGAGGCGTTTTCTTCGCGAATCGAACCTTTAAACTCTCCGAAATATTGAAGTTGCGGGTAAAATTGTTCTTGGTTACCATTGTCGACCATGCGAGCCAAATGGAGTTTCACGGCGTCCGACCTTGAGCTTTCTCGCGCGGAAAGACGCGGCGCACGGTCGCCCTGTGGGGCGCCGGCCGTCTGATCTCGCGGCCACGAAGGTAGCGGCGGCGCGTGCTGCGGTGACCGGCTCCCGTTGGCTCCGCACACCTTGCTGTGGACACATGGCAGTGGAAGACATCGCCGGGTGCCAGCAGTGCCGAGGGATCGATGTGATACGCGCGGGGCGTCGTCCCCGTGTGCGCCCACGCGCCGCCCGACCCCGTTGACGTCAGAGACTATTTTGTACAGGGCAATAAGGAGTGGGCCCGCGCGCTGCGCCGCGCCGGCTAGCCGGTGCCGCCGTGCGTTCGCCACCGGGCAGTGCCGGCGTATGGTGGGCTCAAATCGGTCTGTTTAGCCGCCGCGTAGGTTTTAGTACTGCATATTACGCATAATATTTTGAGCTGGCTCGTGAGACTGAGACGCTGGCGGCATAGGCGAAAGCCAGGCCACGGAGCGTGCCGTGCCGGTGGCAGCGGATTGGGCGCGGGGTCGGCAGTGGAGGGTGCTGCCTGGAGCCTGACCGCCGATCTTGTGTGTGTGTGGGGGGGGGGGGGGGGGGCGTGGACCGTAGTCCGTGTCCGCCTGCTGACCCGACGCGATGCGGGCGCGGCGCAGCACGTGTCTTGGACTGGGGCCAAGCCGCGGACCTGGCTGCGACGGTGGCGCAGGCAGTCCGTCTGCGCGTCGGGGATCTGAACAACGAATTTCCGCTACCGCCGGCCAGGCCCAGTCGGATTCTAGTCAAGCTGGGCGCGCTCTGTCAGGTTCCAGCTCGCCCGTGGCGCCGCCGTGTTTTGTCGTGCGCGCGTCCACGGTGTGCCCACACGCTGGCCCGCCGGCGGGGCGGCCCCGGGCTGGGCCCACTGTCCCGGCCGGCAGCCGACGGGAAGTGCCGATCCCGTGCCGTCCTAGGCCGGGGTCACGCGACGCCCCTGGTCTTGTGCTGCCGGATGTATATGCTGCCCCGCGTTGGCGGTTGGCGACATGTGACGCCCCTGCAGAGATGCGCTATTTTTGTGAAACGCGCGTGCCGGCAATGTTAATTGTTAGTTAGTGCGTTGTTGTACGTTCGCCATCACCGGCCCGGTCACTCCCGCGTGCCCAGTTCCCGGACCCGCCACCGTCCCTCCTAGGGCTTCCTGCTCAGCATCCCGATCCGGACCAAAACAATCCCCATTTTAGGGTGATGACGGGAGCGTATGTCCGGCTCGTCTCTAAACCAGGCCGACTCAGTCAGTGACCAGCTGGCTGGCCGGCTCGAAAGCCACAGCTTACGCTGCGATGAGCCGACGGGCCCGGTCGGCGCTGAGAGGGCCACTTCTCGCGTCCCGAGCCATCAGCCCTCCCCAACGAATCGCAGCCCGCTGCCTTCCCCTGAACCCCGGCAACTCTGCTCCATACTGAGCGCCGTGCCGGCCGCCGGCTGCGGCACCGCATGTCCCTCTGTTCCACGGTAGCGCAGCGGACACCAATGGTGTGGCGCGCCCGTCCCTGTACCCCTGGTGAGGTGAGACGCTAATACACGATGCACGATCAGCGAGCCGCTCAGTCGACGTTTTCCGCCCGTGGGCGGTGTGGCTGCGGCCGTTCGGGCGTTCCAACAGCTTGGTGTGCGTGACGACTCTCGACTACACGGACGCGTCGTGGGCGCAGGGACGATAAGAAGGCTTACAAGCGGGGGCGCCATCGTGAGCGATACCGATTACAATTCTGCTCAAGGCCAATCTTCTGACGGACGAACATGCGCCGGCGCAGCTGCCCCACTTGTCCGTTAGGACTCGCTGAAATGACGCGCGACACCCGAGCGAGTCAGTCGGCGCGTGATGGGCTTTGCAGCTGGAGTCGAGTGATGACAGATGACGGCGCGACGCCGCGCCATTCTGCATTGGATGCACGACGGCCACCATCCTTCCAGCTGTATTCAGTCCGGTACCAAACGCTGATGGCCCTAGACTAGGTTAACACAACGTCACGCTGTAGCAGTACAAAACGTCTAATTCCACCGTTCCACGGCACGACAGATCCGGAATATCTCGAAAGCATCCGTCAAGATCAGGACAAGGAGTGACGAAGCGGGTAACATTTCAGTGCGTGCGGTACACAGGCTTGCATAAACTCCCAGGTCCTCCAACGGCCTCACACCATGCCTTCCAAAGACAGACACGTCCGTGTCAGATACCATTCTGGCTGAACGCCGAGGGGCAGCGAGCCTCCACGCCTGGCGATACGAATCTGCCTACTCACTCCCCCTCTGGGCATAACGGCATGTCAGTAGCTCCGGCGCTCCTCGCCATCGCTCACAGCCCGTCAGACGCGAGCGCTCGCGGTGGTCGCCCCTGGCCCATCCTCGTCACCGAGGTGCGTGGACTAAAGCCCCTTCGTCACCCGCGAGCGCATACCACGCGACCTGGTCTCAAGTCATCCGACAGGCACATGTATGCACTCAGCTGCCACCGCGACACGCCGATCGCGACGACAAAACAGTGTCTGGCAGGGTAATTACCGACAGCGTCTGCCGCCATGGCCGGTCACCACTCCGCGTTAACCCGGTCAGCGGAATCACGCCGACGCCATCACACCAACGCCAGGGCGTCTCAGTTCTAGATGGCGCAACGACACAATACTGACCTCAGAGATGGGGAGGGGCGGGGCGAATGGGCAATGAAATTACACAGGCTAGAGTACGTTCGCTTACGCTACTCCGAACTGCAACAGCCAACAAACACTCGCACCATCCAGAGATGCGTGTCGATCCGCTTGTGATGTCATCGTGGTGTGCGCTGCGAAGCGTTTCCCCAACGCACGACGGGACGAAGAGCGTCGGTACAGTGGGCACGATATGCTCCACGCGGCGGCGTCCCGAGGCCGCCAAGCCGACGTGTAAACTCGCTGGCGTCCTCACCGTTCGGGACGAGACGGGATGCGCGTTCACCTCGCTGTTCGGTGGACGCCTGACCATCTCCGGAGTTCGTACAACACGAGATCTTACAATAGTCAAACAAGCAGCAGCCAACATAGCACTGACACCAGTGGCGGTGCCACCTGCCCTGTTAGCACCCCTGGGGCGACGCCAGCGCTGCGGCAGCCGTGGCGCTCACTACTAACTGAATAAATCGCCGGCAGATGGCAGAGGCGCGAAGGCGCCTGTGACGTTGGGCAGTTTACTGATGTCGGGCAGGTTCTGGATGTGCGACTTGAGCTCCTCCCGCACCAGATAAACCTTCTCTAGTTTGTGCCGGTACTCCTGTGAGGGGGAAGACAATGGTCTAGAGCAATTAAGTAGACGGGGGCGTCCGTGAGCACTGGCGTTACTTAAGTCGGCTGGCGTTACGATCATGATTTGAAGCATGATTTCACGCATTGTCCTTCACGCCACATAGGATTACAAAATTCGCCTGCCCCTACACACGTTGATGCCACCAGACATCGCACAGAAACAACTACCGGAGGAGTTCGTTTTCCAGGAGTCTCATCGCCAATACGCACATATTACGTGCATACAGGAAAAGTGAGCACCATACTGGCCTTCAGACCTCCCTTTATCGTACTGAGCCACACTCGGCCATCTACCATTCAGATTGCTTTAAAAATCGATGAACATAAAAACGAAGACACGAAGATACATCCTGGCAGTGGCTGCCCACGTAACGCCTTTACCACACCACCTAGCACAATAATGAAGAGTGACAGAGTGGATCCATTCCACTGTGGCGAACCTCGGCGCCTGCGGCACCTCACCTCCAGCGTGTGCTCGGCCTGGGCGAGCAGGTCCTTCTGGCTCTGCGTGAAGTCCTGCAAGAGTCGCGAGACGCGCTTGCGCTCGTCCATCTCGCTGGCCAGCCGGCTGTTGTAGTCGGTGAGGAGGTCGAGCGCCTCCGACACCTGGGTCAGCAGCCGGTGACCGGAGCCGCGGTCTGCCGGGCCACCACAGGCGTGCGTCTGAGCCGGACGCTGGCCCGCCGCGCGCACGGGGCACGCGCCGCGTGGGGTGAGGACACAGCAGGGCATCGACGGCGATGGGCTTTGGCAGGTGTTTACCAGGATCGCACTTGACAGAGAATTGCCGGACATGCAACGTTGGATGGTAGGACCATCACCAAACACCCTGTGCGGGAACCCAGATAGGGAAGAGACACTCAATACAATCCCTTCTCCGATTGAGGCATAGGCACCTACCCATATACCACGGCATTCTCACCCCCTCCTCCCCAGGCCGAGCACACCACCAACGGACAGCGCCTCAAAGTTCAGCCACTTCCATGCAAAAAAAACCTGAAGCCTGCCCACATTCCACCGTTTCGGCAGTAATGTCGCAGGTGTTCGTCGCCTGGAGGCAGATCACAGACGTACCTTGTAGCCGGGCAAGCATGGCCGTGTCGGACACCTCCGGTGGCAGGCCGGATATTTTCTCCCGTGTGGCTGCGTCCGCTGACGCAGAGTTCTCCAGGTCCTGGCCGACATGCGCGAAGGCAGAGGTCAGGTGGCGAGCCAGCGTCACGTGTGCACATGAACGACATGTAAAACTAGCGTACTTTTATACGAATTGGACCTCTGGACAGCAAGGGTTGACGAAGCGGGATACACTTGATGTGAATATCAGATGCTTGTGATAATGCCCTTTTCTGACCCCGATTATTTCCTTGAAATGTTAACTTACGTAAACGCATGGTTTGGACAGCACACACGCATCGACTTTAAGGGGGGTCCACACTTGCATGAGGATTTGAACTGAGATAGGCATCTTGAAGATCATTCAGTGCAGTTCTCAGCTCTGTGGTCGCTGGTGTGCACAATTTCCAGATATAACAACCGTCAATTGGCTCTCAATCAATGCCGTGCACGGCAAGTTGACGCAATCAAACAATGACGCTTTTGAGGAGCATGTTGACTAAATGAGACTCATTACGCTGTCTAGAGGCCTTACGCTGTTGCCCGGGCCCCATATTTGCACTTGTCGGGGCATTCTGATCGCTTAGAAGCCTTTCACGTTGCTCTTGATCTCTGCATTTTGTTGAAGGGCCCTACGCTGATGTTGGGACGCTATCTGCTTACATGCCTGGGCACTCTTGATCGATCAGGATACTCTTCCTATTCAACCGAAATGCTCTGTGCGTTTTTTTTTCCGGGGCCCCACATGCCATCGTACATTAAGTTCCTCAGGGGTCCTTCACATTAGTACCGGATTCTTTCCCCTTACTCGGAGAGCCTCGTACTGGAGAGCCTCGTACTGCGGTTCATGTAACGTAAGGTATCGAGCCGAACGGTGCTCCGCAACCGTCTACTTTGATCTAGAGCTCTCTTCCTTTAATCCTATTTGCGGAGGAATCCTCACTCCCATCGCGGCATTTTCTGTTAACCTGCCCGAGCACTCTTGGTCGCACGGGGTCATTAATTCATTACAATGGTCTTCAGTAATTTCCTTCGTCCGAAAGGCCCTGCGCTCTGGCCGGGGCCCTACACGTCAGTCTGACGGGGTACTAGCGGTCGTACAGGGGCCCATCACGTTGGTCCTGCGTTCTTCTCGCTCGCTCTGAGGTCCCTATACTTGCTGACGGGAGCCTCTTTGTTGACCCCCCACGGTACCCATGATCGCTCAGGTTCCGTCCCCACTGGCCTTGGTGCCTTAGTCATAGAGCAGTAGCCGGATATGCGCTGGTGAATTTGTACGTGCAATTGTCGAACGTATTTACGTGCCACCGACGTAGTGGCATTTCCCTTGGCTATTCAACATGTGGAACTTCCTTAATGTGCGTTACGAATGTGCAATGCTAGCCGGTGTGTGTCATGCTCTTAATACATTTTGACTGCCCGATATTTTGTAATCATCAAAGGAAGGGAAACACTACAATAGCCATCAGCCATCAGCTGATCACATCCACCAGCCGGCTGGCCGTAAATAAGGTAGGAACCGAGTTCATGCTTGATTTTGATGGCATTTAGCACCCAACTTGAGTGTATTTTGCCCGTTTCTGCGGAATACTTGGCCTTAAAATGACAAGATTTACTATGACCTGGAGAGAATAAATAAGTTTCACATGTGTGCGAAAGTAGCACGCCTAGCTTTCTAGCACATTTCTTTCTCATACATTTTTAGCATATTTATTTGCATATATATATATATATATATATATATATATATATATCGGAAGAGCTTGGCATAGGTGTATCTAATAAGCTTTTTCTGCACTTAATCAAGTTTTCTTATCACGGCTTTTTTCTTATTACGGCTTTCTGTTAATCATTCTGGCTAAAAAGTAACTGGTCGATATTTGACGTCTGTTGGTTGGCCTGACGTTTTTGGAATTACATATTCCATGTTCAAAGGTACACACATGCAACATACCGGCCACGAGTATATGACTACATGGTACAGTTAGGTATAACCAGCTAGGTATAACTTCGATCGTCAAATTGTACAGAGCACGGTTACCTGGATGTACTGGACTCTACTTAGATTCACTGTGTGCAGCGAACTGCAGCGCATCAAACAAGTTCCTGTAAATAATGGTTACTTCAACATCGCCATCGACCATGAGATCAGTGGCTTTATGTCACGATGGATAAAAACGAACGCCATCACATATCAGCCAAATTCAACCTGCACTATGAGACTATGAGAGAAATCACTATGAGAATCAAATGTCTGATAGCTATAAGACCGTCGAGGGCATCCTGAAAAAATTTATAGATGGCCACGGCAGCCGTCACGCAAGTCTAATTTTACCAATGATTTTCCGGCACTGCGCCGTAACGACCGTCGGCCGCGGCGCCGGCCGCTGGCCGCGCTGTCTCTGGCCGCCGTATTTCTGTATCATAGTGGCGGTCAATCCGCGCCGGAGTGCATGGCGCTCCTCCGGCGTCATGGCGCCCACTGCCACCTGGCGGCGAAAGCGAGAACTAGCGGGCCGGTCGGCGGCCGCAGTTAGTGCTGTGCGGTCGGCTCGCGCAGAAGGATGGCCGTCTATGGCACCCCTGGCAGTGATTAGTTCCGTGCTAGCGTTCCTCCTGTACTACAACACGTTAGACGCGGACTTTGCCTACGATGACAGGTGAGTGGCGCTGGCGCCGAGCGCCGCCGCCGCCGCTCACGTGCTGGATCGGACGCCCCCAGCCCATGGTCAGCGCTCCGACCTCGCCAAAACATCCCTTAATTGCCCTCCTAAGTATGACGCGGCTGCCACGAGACTGCACCCCTTGTTTCTGCAGCCCTCCGACCGTCGGGAGGGGTGCCGTCCGTGGAAGGACTCGCCCTGTCCCGGCGGGGCGGGGTGGCGGCGGGGTCGCCGGCCAGACACCGCCGGCCCGCTCTATCAAACGCCGCCTGCGAACCGATGAGGGCCGCGGCCCGGCGGCTAGCGCATCCATCAGCAGTAACGGCCGCGTAACACGTCGCCGACGGCACACACTCTACGGCGGCGGACGGCCGGCTGTCCGCCCCCGGGCAGCGCCGCCCCAGCTTCGGGCAGCGTCGCCCCGGCCTTGGGCAGCGGTGGGTCGCCCGGGAGGACGGGCCCCCGGCGCTAGGCAGGCCTGTCGACGGGAGTCTGCTGTTTGGATAGGGAGTTTATCAATGTCATCAGGCTGCATTGCGAGCCTGATGGTCCTTCAAAAAATGCTGGCAAAAAATCTGCACGTGCTGGCTTATAGTGGTGAAACCGGCTGTTCGACCCTGGTCAAACATGCACCAGCCATCGCTTGGCCATTGTTGCGTTTACCCAATGGCAGTAGGATGCATGTGTCAGTTCTGAGATGATGTGACACGAGGAACGCACGCAGGAAAGTCGCTGAAATGAAGGTGCCATGGTAAAGAATCTCTCGGTGGATAAATGGTGCAATTATTATTTTTGAACGAGGGTTATAAACCTGGCATGCCATGCTTTCCATCCTCGCTCGAAGAACACAGACGCCATGAACGTAAGTCCTTCTGAAAGGCGTTAATTTCGAATGATTTTTGGATCTCGTATATTGCAGCGCCGACACTACGAACCTCCATTAATTATCAAGCGGTAGACAATATTAGGTTAAAAGCTGCCCTTCAACGCTGTACATGTATGTCACCGCATTGGTTAATAATGAATTTGGCTCATGTGATTATCGGGTATGTATTGTGTATTGGCTGCATGTGTCTTTTTTACCAAGTTCGGGGTTACCCGCCTCTCATGACTTTGAGGTGCACCAGTGTGATGTCCAGTGCTGTATGGTTCTTATGGAACGTGTTTTGATGCAGGTCGGAAGGTGCTGCTAACATATTGGCGACAAACCGACTTATCTGAATTTTACTTGTTTTTTAGGATATGATAAACATGCCGTAAATCTGTGAGCCATTCAGATATGGCTTGTCCATTTACTTGTAATTAAACGCTCAAGAAAGTAGCTGGAAACTGGGAGGTAGCAGATCAGAATAGGCGTAGAGGGAGCTGTAGTGTGTGGTCAAATGAATCTGTGGGAAGATAAAAATGCAGGTGATGTATGTATTAACAGAGAGTTCCCCTTGCTCTAATTCTCCATATTGATATTCTGATAGTTTCCCACATCACGTGCGTTTGATTGATGGCATAGTGTGTAATTTAGATACCTTGGTGTGATTTCAAAGTGCTTTGGTAGTTTCCATGGTTTCCATGTACGTTATCGTCTTAATGACAAATAAAACCACTTGGATTCCTTTAACAGTCAGTTCTCTCCCTTGGCGATTAATCTTGATGTCGTGTGATGGCTTGAAGGCAGTAAAAACTTGATATCGAAATAACAGCGAGATACAACAGTTTTCAATAAAATGACATCGGTATACGTCACGAAGAGTCCCGAATTGGGGTAGTGATTAACTTTCACCCAATGACCATTTCCTATACCTCGTTTTCACAAACATTGTATATATTGCAGCATTGGAATATCGCAATCTTAAAGAAATTTGTGATCGCAAGAGATGGGGGCCAAAGTTTTAGGTCGTAGGGGGCTAGAATGACGTCATATTCTCTTATTCATGAAGGGCTGAGACCAAAAGTTGTCCGCAGTTTTGTTTAGGGCAAGAACATCCCATATGTTATGGAACTGCACGTCAGGTGGCCCTATACGGAAATGCTTCCAGATTACGCAGTCGTGCCAAAAACGTGCCCATATTTCCATTCCTTGAGCGAATGCGACTGCATTTTCGAATCGACAATCTTAACATCAGAACACAGCACATAACGCCTTGTCAGGAGGAATATATCAATGGGTTGATAGTGCCACACCTTCACCAGCCTACATTGCTCTTTGGAATATTTGCAGAGGACTGATTTACAGGTGCTATAAGGCGTCTGCGACTCGTACAATGACCTTAAATACCTTGACTCCAATAGCTATAAGTTTTTACGAGGTGAGTGCTTGCAAATTGTATCCAAATCAGCATGATGCAGAAGATGAAGCTTTGCCTCCCACTTTTATCCGGAACAGAAAAATATCAAGAATTGATGCGTGGCGTTCTGAGAGATATAACGTATGCAAAATGCACTTATTTTTAATGTTTACAAGTCTAAATTTGGGCTGAAATGAAACAGCTTGCTACAGTGTTTTATCAAAAGTAAAACAAATGCTACACAACATACGAAGACCTAGCTGGCTTTGGTGATTGCGTAAAACCGCCTTAAAGCTATATTTTTCCTATTCGTGCAAATTTGTTCATATCTTAAACTGTGCTCATTTGTTTTTGTCGATAGGAAGCCCCTGGTAGCTTAATTCAGCCATAGCTGGCAGTTATTGAACAGTCCAACCGATCGTCGTATATATGTCTAAGCATGCCTCGCAGACCAGACACAGTCAAGGAATTGTTTGAAAAAGTCACAAGAAGAGATCATCCTGGCGATCAAATGTTAGGATCGTGGGCAAAGATGTAATATGGAAGAGCATTCCACGCCGGCTGAATGGTAGTATCGTTTCGAGAGTAGTTACAGCATTTGTGCATTTGCAATTTGTGCATTTGCAAAAAGCCGGCTTCCTCGTAAAGCATAAGCATTCCCTCGAATATCATAACGGTACCCTGCATACTCAGGTGGAGAATGTGGCGCGACAAGTCTGGATCAACTTCCATTGACAGTGCGCACTATCATTTAAACAAGCATACAAACATCACTGAAAGCCGCTGGTGGTTCCGGTAGTTTCGCCAAGCCAGCGTCTGTCGATGTTTCCCATCCGTGATTGTGTGATAGCCGGAACTGAAAGCCGTGAACAATTCAATACATGCAAAATATTAGGATCAGAATGCATCTGCATGATGGCTGGGAGCAGGCGTCCGCTGCCCGGCATGGTGACAGAGAGTGTACAGATATGCCGATACATATATCACCCTCAGTCTGCAAGGCC